TGCACCTTTTATTTTATTTTGAATTGTGTTTTAAACCTACCCTTATATTTTCATATTACATCGTTCTATATGAACATTGCTATAATTTCCCAAATAATTAACACGAACCTTGAATACATCCTATGTAGGGATGTTATATTTTTTATATAGAAAAACATGGTATTTTAATTAACAAGGTAAATATTTTTTTAAGATACAAGTAATTTGAGAGAAAGGGAAAGTTATTTCCTGCGCGAGTTACCATTTAGTTGGGGTTGGGAAACACATTAACTTTTATTAATTATGGCCTATATACTGAAGTAATTAATTAAATCTAGTAAAGAAGGCTAGTCAACAAGAACTAGGAAAATACATGTAAAATTGCGTATATATACATATTATGGCGTTGAAGCACAAATTAATCAAAGTTCTCATGTATGAATCAGAATCAATAGAACGATATAATTGTTATTTCGGTATATTTACCTCATCAGTCGCTCGAGCTGATTCAGATTTAAACCTGAAAAGTCCAACAAATGCCTCACAAATACTTCCAACTTTATGGGCAAAAATGTCCAAAAAATTGAAACTACTACTGCACTGATAAGAAAATCTCGTCTGACTGATGAGGTACGTCAAAACAGTTATAAAGTAAATAATAGTTACAGATTTAATAGTTACAGGTTAATTTGTGCTTCGATTCCATAATAATTGGCTTTTATTTCATTAGAGCAATTTTGCTGGAAGTTTCAATCATTTGCACATTTAAACCCAGATAACCCAGAGGAATAAAAAACAATGTTACTAAATCGTTTTCCAACCCTTCCTGCAATGCAGATGGCACCTCTGTGCGCGAAACACTAAAAATATATTTTTTTAATTATTTTTTACATACGATTTTACCTTTATGACCGTAATCTCAATTTTCTATCACTGATGATGGTATAAATTCTACTGAAATATATCTGATTGTTGAAAAAAAGTGGCTTTGTTAATTCAGCTGGTTACTTATTAATCCCTTAATAAGTTATTATTAAGTATTAATCACTTAATATATATATATATATATATATATATATATATATATATATATATATTAGTGGATTCTCTTGGGCTTAGGTTCATAAAATATATATATATATATATATATATATATATATATATATATATATATATATATATGTGTGTATGGTAAACTCTTAAATATTGGGGAAATCTGCAAGAAAAACTCTAATGTGTATCAATTGTTTCGCCGAACATTTTCGCCAAAGAAAATTAATTTGGCTTCTTCAGGGCTGAAAGAGAATAAATTATAATTAGCTACCATATATTATCTAATAAAAAACATTTACCTTACCGTAAATTTTAGAAATGTCGAGTAATGATGTTAAAAAACTTAGCTAGTAACAACATAGTGGTGTTTTTTTGTTACTATGTGCAAAAAAGTTTATTTGTTAACGTTGGAAATGTATGGTAGCTTTGAACTTAAAACGTGAAAAAATATCGAACTTAGTAATGAAGTTCGGTTCGGTTCGTAATGCCCCTTTGTCCGCTTCTCGTCGATCGATGATGATAGGGTTAAATAAATGTTGAAGTTGTGGAGTAAAAGTGATGATTTATTGACAGCAACTCGTAATTACACAATATGGTGTTCGTTCGGTAACTACTCAATATTGACTGTGTTCATTTGAACTCAAATCCCCAATTTATAATCTCACAAATAAATAATTCATACCTAAGCACATAGGTCATTGCTTTCTATCATACCATACAACCAAACTTTGCTTACAATACAATTTAATCTACGCCTTAATTGCGACACTTAGGAAGTTCAAGTAGAAAATATTATTATTCGGCAATTTATTTAGTTGTAGGTAAATGAACTAATTATTAAATTATCATACGATATGATTTTGCAATATGTATAATGCAAACTTATACACGGTGAAACTATAAAAGATTAAGAAGTTAAGAATAATGTGAGATTACAAATTAAGGGGTTAATTTGTGATTGAACAAAACGCAAAGGTTTACCCAAGGTTAATCGAAAAACCTTGTATATATTATATATATATATATATATATATATATATATATATATATATATATATACAAAAGAAAGGGATTAATAAGTAACCAGCTGATTTAACAAAGCCACTTTTTTTCAACAATCAGATACATTTCATATATATATATATATATATATATATATATATATATATATATATATATATATATATATATATATATATATATTCACTTTCAGAAAAATATTTAAAAAATTAAATATGCCGGTATCTATTTAAAATTAAGGTTAATATGCATTTAGTGTACTTCAGTGAAAGTGTGTTTTTATTAATTTTTGTTAATTAAAAGTGATTCCACGAACGATCAATTATCAATAGATTTGGAAAAACAAAATGTAAGGTATACAAATTTTACGTAACAATGAACAGTGAATTTATTTGTAAGCGATTTTACCTAGTACACACATAAAAAAGAAAAAAAAAAAGGTTATGTAGAGGTAATGGATTTTGGGAACAGCTATGACCTTGAACATTTCACATAAACTTGTGTACTAAATAGGCATAATGCATAGCTCTTGTCAAAATCCAACACATTAATAATATAATTACATATCTTCGATTCTAAAATATTGTAAAAGACTTTAAAGAGTATGAGTAAGAAAAGAGATATTTAGTTATATTCTTTGTGGCATTTTCAAGGTCATAGCTGTTCCCAAAATCCATTAACTCTACATTGTTTACTTGGTGTTCTAAAATTTTAATATTTTTTGTAAATTATTATTTACAAATTGTTTTTGCTATACCTTTTATTAAATCCTAATTATTGTAAATTTCCTGAAAATTAAAAAAAAAATTGGTGTACACTTTCAAATTTATTGGTAAATTTGAAAGTATCTAAAACTAACTTCAAAATGTAAGCCAAGTGTTTTAAGTGTTCTGTAAACTGCATTTTTAAAGAGCCTAAGAAGTCCGGTGAAGTGTTTGGTTACCCATCTGATTTTTGCATAACTAATATAGAGGTGTTACAAAGAATGAAGAAAGAATGTGAAGTCACAAAAACTGTTAAAATTAGAAAGATTTGATATCTCTGTCATAATGAGGGGCGAGAAGTACGTATTACTTAGGCTAATTATGCAAGGGAAGATACAAGGGAAAAGAAACCCAGCACGACGCAAAATATCCTTCTTGATAAATTGGTATCGATAAATCTCACCTGGGCTTGCAGAAACATAATTATTGATGAACAACATGGATTTTCTAACGGGAAGTTAACAGTAACAAACCTTGTCAATTACCAACAATACTTGTTAGTATGCATCTGGCTTTGGTGACCCCATTGTTAATTGGATTAATAGTTTTCTGATAGGACGTACACAGCAAGTTTGTATTAACAATTATATTTCAAAAGAATTCCATTGTTATTCTGGTGTACCATAAGGGTCTCATTGTGGTCCTTTGTTTTTTAACTTGTTCATTAACGATATTGGTAAAGCTATCAAAAACTCACACATTCTGCTATTTGCTGATGATCTTAACTTATTTCGTTGTATACATGATAAATCGGATAGAGATCCCTTGCAAGATAATGTAAATAATATATGTTTATGGTCAAAACAAAATGAAATCCAATTAAATGTTCTTGTATTTCATTTGGTCGTATAAATATTCTAATAGCTAAAAGATATGTTCTTAATGATGTACTCTTGGATTCAGTTACTGAGATTAGAGATTTGGGTGTATTATTGGATTGTGCATTGACATTTAGAAGCCATTTTCTAAAAATTGAGGAAACAGGATTTCGTAATCTTGGTTTTATTTATCGTAACAGTCATGATCTCTCACCTATTGTATTCAAATTATTGTATTGCTCTCTGGTACGCTCAGGTCTAGAAAACTGCTCTGTTGTTTGGTCCCTATTTCATCAAGTCTACATTGATGGATAGGAGAGTATTCAGAGGAAGTTTCTAAGATCTTTAGCTTTTAAAGCACATATTAATTTAAGAAATTCTGAAAATTATTTCATAGATTATTCTATAATAATGTCAATTTAACATCGCTTCATTAAAGAACCGCAGATTGAGAGCTGATATGTTATTTTTGTTTAAAATTCTAAACAATGTTATTAATTTTCCCTGTTTTTAGCCAATGTACACTTAAACACAATACATAGAAATCGACACACTGCAATCTTTTGTATTCCTTTTCATAGGACTGATTATGTTCGTTCATTGTCAAGAATGCTCAGCTCTTGTAATGACCTCCTATTGGATCCATTCTGTCCAAACATTAATGTTTTCAAAAGGCAACTTAGGAATCTAATTATTAATCTAGATATGTGGTATATTTTTTTAATTTTTGTGATTTGATGTTTATTGTACACGATCTTTACTTTTTACAATTTGTTGTATTTTACTGTAAATGGTTCTACCGTTAAAATAAATAAATAATAATATTACGTAGTATGATTTGGCACGGTTCTTCACCAATAATTGTATACTTTGATCTACCTCAATAGAAAATACTAAAACTGTTAATTCGCTGATGATACTGCTATAGTGGCAGTAGGAAACACTAATAGAGATTCAGCGAAAAAAAGGATTATAAAAAATACATATTATAAGATAGAAGATAGTCCTGTATATATTAACAGGCAACATGTAACGTTCTCAAACAAAGCAAAATATCTTGATATAACTTTGGACACAAAGCTTCGTTGGACAGCGCCAGAAACGTGGGGAGTTTGATATTATATGTAGAAAGTTAGACAGGCTTATTGAAAGATATACTTAACAAAACTCAACAAATACATAACAAAACATTTACAAAAATACTATCCGAATTAAAGGATTGCAATGTCTCTATATATATACAAGACCTACTCTATTATTTTGTTTCCATTTCTACTTTGCAATTGAGTAAGTTCTAGCTAATGACCATAGTAGAAAAAGAAAGATATAAAAATAACTAAATTAAACAATTAATTAGTAAACTTACCGGTTTGAGGCAAAAAACAATTAATATAGAGATAAGCAACATATTCACAAACATCCTAATGTATCTTCATCTTGGGGCGTTTCATTTTGTCCTTTGGTGATACTGCGGCACCTGTAACAAACTCTCCTTTAAGGTAACGAAATATAATGATATGGACGATTTATTAAATAAAAATCGTAAACTGTTGTCAGGGTTAGAATAAAATAAATTTTTTACGAAATTTTTTATTATTATTTTGTCCCGTCTGTCGTCTCCCTGTCTTAAGGTATGTCCAGCAAATTTCCACTTAAATTTTGCTCAAGTTAAAACGTCTTTTACTTTGGATTTATTCGAATCTAATTATCGTATCTTTTGCTCTATCTATCTTTTTTTTTTTTTGGCCTTAGGTACAAGACTTATTTAGCCAGACAATATAGGTATAAGAATATAGAATACATAAAAACAATCCTTCAAATTCATAACAATTTCCTAACCGTTCGTTCATTCGCACCACATTCACTCAATTTCCTAACCTTCCCATTAAAAACACTGTGTATTGTGTGACTATACAAAAAGGATTGAACAGGAACACACGCTTCACGCTAAGGTGCCCTTCATAGCGACTTTTTTGTAACACAAACAATACAGGCAACGGTTAAAGGTAAAAGACATAAAAGGAAAGACAATGGGAAATACAACAACTAACGTCCTACCATTTCGGATTCACACAACAACACTGAACAGGGCAGTTTAGATTTTCCGTTTGGTACGTTTGAAAAATTCCCATAAAATTGATGATCTTATAGTTGAATTTCGACTACCTAAATACATAATAGAAGCAACGTTCTGCGGCAAAATGATTTTTTCTTGAGAGATGGCTTGAAATAAAAATTTTATGGCTTCTTGATTATACCGACATTGAAACATCCAGTGGTTAAGATCGTCATAACTGCCATTACATTCACATATATCAGTTTCGGAAAGTTTTATTTTATATAAGTAAGCATTTACTGTAGCATGTCCAAAAAGGCATCTAACGTACATAGTATAAATTTTCCGAGAGATGGGACTTCTGTCACTTAGAGGAGTAGATGGGAGAGTTGGATATATACTGCAGTATGTATTTTGCTACTATTAGTAAAGGATTGCCACTCAATTTCCCAATTATGTCTAACATATTTCTTCCTAGCTGAAACTATATCCCATTTGGGCAACTCGTTGTACTCTATACCCACTAAAGTAGCGTCTTTAGCCAAATGGTCTACTTTTTCATTACCTATAAGATTAGAGTGACCTTTAACCCACACAAAGTTAACAATTCTTTTTAAAGAAGTTAAGATTCTTAGCTTTTCAAGCGCATCTACAATTAGTCTGTTGGTATATATTTGTTTAGAAAAGTGTCTTAATGCGAGGAGGACGGACTGTGAGTCAGATAAAATTATATATCGTTCGAAATATAATGTGCTATTAATTATCCAATCCAACGCCTTGACAATGGCTACCAATTCAGCTGTGAATATTGAGCAATCTGATTTTAATTTGTACTGAAAATAATCTTGAGTATTGTCTATGTAAATGGCACAGCCAACACCAGCAGGCGATTTTGAACCATCGGTATAAATTTTACAAGAATGGATGGAGTCTTCCAGCTTGTTCTGTACTATTAAATCTTCGTGAACAATTGAAATATATAAAGAAATTACTACAGTAGGTTTATATTCATATAGTAAGTCATAATTCGAGCCAAAGAATGGAATCCCTCCTCCATTAAATGAATACTGGGATAAATTAGGAAAAGCAACAGCTAGAGTTGGAGAGTTTTTATTTGCCCACCATTTGTTTGTTAAATTTTCGACAGAGGAACAAGATATTTTTTGTAATATTTTTTTTGATTATTAAACTGGCATTTAAGGATAAATTTTTCTGCCAAAAATAGACGTCTTAAATGTAAAGGTGGTTCGTTACATTCTGTCAAAAGGGCTGGTGTGGAGTAGATTTGAGAGCTCCTAGGACTAACCTTAAAGCTTTGTATTGTATTCGATCCAATTTAATCAAACGAGATTTTGTCGCTGATCCATAAAAAAAGCTTCCGTAGTCCAAAATTGATCTGGTATATGCTCTGAAAAATAATAAGTTAATTTTCGGTTCTGCTCCCTAATCGTATCGATTAACGGCCTTAAGGATATTAACGCTCTTTTCACATTTGATAATGCAATTATTAATATGCTCGTTCCAGGTTAATTTTGAATCCAAGGTAACACCTAGGTATGTAAAACTGTTATATACAGGAATTTCCAGCTGGGAGAATTTTAACGTACTAACTTTTGGTAACCTGTGTCTCGAAAAAAATACTACACCTGACTTCTTAGGCGAGATGTCAAGCCCATGACTATCAAAATACTTTTTGCAATAAGACATATTTACTTTAAGGGCATTAACACATTGTTCAAAAGTTTTTTTCTCAACATAGAAACAGAAGTCATCAGCATATTGTAAAATGTTACACTGCATTCCCATAGTATGTAAGTTTAATGAATACAAGTTAAATAATAAGGGGCTAAGAACTGAGCCCTGAGGTAACCCTTTGTTAACTGTCCTTGGACCAATCAGTGAATTATTTAAACGAATATGAACTTGTCTATTTGTAAATAGATTGACTAGGGTATAAGCACATTTACTAGGCACTCCTAATTTAACAAGTTGATCAAGCAGAAGATCAAGAATAACGTTATCATTTGCACCAGAAATGTCCACAAATAAAGCAGCTGTGTATTGGTTTATCGAATAAGTTAACTGGATATCGGTTGCGAAATGTGAAATACAGTCCATCGTTCCTTTCCCTCTACTAAACCCAAACTGACCGTCTGGGTAAAGGTTATTACTTTCCATCCACCATTCTAGTCGACTTTTCATGATTCGTTCAAATGTTTTCAATATACATGACATGAGATATGGGTCTTAGGACATTGGGATCATTAGCTTTTGGGATAGGTATTACAAGACACTGCTTTAAAGAATCGCAGTTATCACCTTTAATTAGAATATTGTTAAACATATCACGGAGAAATTGAAGTGCTATTGTAGGCAAGTAGTATATCATAAGATAATTAATACCATCAATCCCAGGGAAGGATCTCTTAGAAAACTTGATATTAGCAGTTAGTTCGTTGATACAAATAGAGATGACAAAAAATGTGATTTAAATGTATCTTCAGTGGGATATATTGGAGAGGGAACATAGCAAGGAGCTATTTTATGGAACAAATTTTCAACGATATTTTCGTCGTGCACATACAGATTTTTATTTTTTTTAATTTTCTTAATTCTATCCCATATTTCAGTTGGATGAGTTTGTCTGTTTAGATTGAGACAGAAGTTGGCCCAACTATTTCTACATTTCTGTTTAAAGATTAGTTTACATTTAGCATTTATTTTTTGATATTCAACAAAGTTTGCCAGACACATATTTTATTTGTACCTTTTGCATGCAATTTTTCTCTTATTCGATATCTCACGGCACTCCTCGTCCCACCATTTAGGTGATTTGAATGATATATTTGAGGATGATCTTAGAATTTTGCAAGCTTTGTTCGCAGCATTCGTAATCTGTTCCATTAAAAATATACACATACCGTTGGTATCGATGTAGTTTGGTGGCGTGGAAAATGATTTCTCTATTTCAGCTGTATATAAGGTCCAATTTGCTTCATTCGTAGACCATTTATATAATGGGAACGTGATTGCATCATCATTGTGATAATAGTTATTGAGCGTAATACTGGGTAATGATCTGATCCATAAGAATCCTGACTAACAGACCAACCAAGTGTAGGACATAACTTAGATGAAGCAATTGTGAGATCTACTGCAGATTTAGCCTGGCCAGGAGGGGAAATCCTTGTGGCAGACCCATCGTTTATAACAATCAAGTTTGAAAAATGATCTAAAGCATCCACCAAAACTCTGCCATCATGTGAGCATGAAGGTGAGCCCCACATGCCGTGATGGGCATTAAAGTCGCCTCCTATTATGCAATCATGTTTTATTTGACTAAATAAATTGATGTAGTCTTGAGATTTCGCTTTAACATCGGAGGGTTTATATAGAGATACTATAGAGAGTTTTTGGTTACCAAGAATGATATTGATTCCACAAACTTCAATTTTTGGATTAAAATTATGATTAAATTGAATGACATCGTATATAATTTTATGTGAAATGAAAATTGCTACTCCCCCATAACCTTTATCTCTATTAACCGCAATGACGTTAAAGTTATTAAACTTAATGTTGTCAGTAGGCTTATACCATGTTTCAGAAATTATTGCAATATCAAACTTTTCCTCCATTAAAATTTGGTAAAAAGAATTTTTGTTAGATCTAAGAGATCTAGCGTTCCACTGAATAATTTTAAGATTTTGTTTAAAGGACATCTTTGAGTTTTTTTTTTGTTTTTTTAGGTTTTAAATATATTATCAACAATGTTTTTAATTTTATTTTCAAACTCTATTTCTTCAAAATTTAAACTACTATTTGATAATGGATTCTGTGAAAATTGGTGAAAAAAAACTTGTTAACATTAATTGTGGTAATTAATTGATGTTTAAGTGTTGAAAAATCATTTTTCGACTCTTTTTCCAAACTGGAAGACCGGTCCTGCACAAAAGATAGTATTATATTCTCGTCTAATGGGTGGAAAATTGGGAGAAGAATCACTAGTTTTTTCTTTTTTTTTAGCAAGGGTTTAGGAGAAGATGGTTGATCATGTGTTGACCTAAAGTTCGATTTAGAAGAAGTATTAGGGACAGGATGTTGTGCTGTAGAAGTTTTTAAAGCAGGAAATTCTATATCCGAATCAATTAATGGGGCAAATTTATTTTTTTGTATGAGGCTAGAATAGGCCGGATTGTTAATAATTTTTTCAGCTTCTTTGAAAGATATATTCAAATTAGACATAGCATCTTTGACTCTAGTTTGCTTTTTGAATTCAGGACACTCCTTATAAGTAGAATTGTGACTATTATTTTTGCAATAAACACAAAAAATTTTGCATGCTTCGCACACAGATTCATTTTCTGACCCACAATTTCTACACCTTTTCTTTCCCCTACACTGTGAGCCGGAATGGCCAT